ACAATGCAGGATCCTGCTAACCAGGCTGAAATCTGGGACTGAACACAGAGGGGTGGGTCTAGGTTCTCCAAATACTTACACCCCACACAGTTAGCTCCACCAGGTCAGCGATCCTTGCGTGGTCCTACTCAACTGGGCGATAAGCCCTCCCCACCACCATCCAGAGCTGGGGGACTTGAAGGCTGGTGAGCCCATAAAGCTAGGGTGGGGTGGGGGTGGGGACTGAAAAGGGACTGAGCTCTGAGCTTGGGGTTTTGATGTGCAAGGCGGAGACTGCAGCAGGAGGAAGGAAAGTTAGACTTGGGTAAGGAAGGGATCCCAAAGGTGAGGAAGGAGTTTTGAAGAATTGGGGAATTTGGACAAGATCTGACTCTGGCCAGGGCCTTGACTGACAGACATCCTTAGGAGGCCCAGTGATGGGGAAGTGGTTGGGAACAAAAAACTATGGAGAAAATGGAGGAAGGGGGGAACAAGAATAGAAGGAAAGGAAGTCTTGTGAAGCAGCCTCAAACAACAAAATATTCCCCCAATCCCATAATCAATGTCCTCTATGTCTCTACTTTGTCCTACATGTCTACTTTGAAAGATGAGGCTAAGGGGAGATGTTCAAGGAACTGGGTCTGACCAAGGGAGAAAGGAGTTTGCAACCTTCTCTCAGAGAGCCAGGAGGCAAACACCTCAGCTTCATAACTCACTTCATCTGTCCAGCTTGTCTGATAACTGGTAATACACTGGCTCAAGGCAGTGTGTGGAGAGGGGTAGGAGAGAGGAAAGCAATCAGCCTCCTCCCTGAGCCAGATCTGCCTGGGGCAGCCTTGCCCACTACAAAATGTTCTTCATCTCAGCAGGATCCTCGATAACCCTTCTTCCCATTCCCCACCCCATCTGTTTCCCCATCTTCCTCATAGCAAGTACACTCAATTCTGTTTACTAGCAAGGAGTGACATTGCTCCCCAAAGAAAAAGGGACCTTGGGGTAAGTTCAGGCATAGCAGAGAAGGCAGAAGAGGCGGGGAAGACCCCCCAGGGCTTCTCCCCTGTTAGAAGAGCAGCAAAGCCTGTGAGAGCAGCAGGAAGGTTAGACACTAAGTCAGGTAAGCTGGGGCCAGGAGGCTTCCATCTCTCAAACATGAAGAAGGAAGTTCTATGTCTGTGGGCTTGGGGCATGAAGGCAGGGGTAGGGATAAGGGAATCCCTTAGGCTGCCTGGATAGCGCTGGCCATACAGACCTGTGGAATTCCCCTTTCTGACCCAGAGTGGGTGGGACACATGATTCATATTCCCAATCCCAAGGTAAGAACAGCAATGTGTGTTTGGGGAGGGGTCCTTTCCCTGGGACTTTGGATACAGTTTGGTTTGAGCTGGGGTTATAGCTAAGGACTGAGTGAAAATTTTAAGAAAGGGGAGGGAGGCATTAAGGAGAACATATCTAGTCTCCATCTTCCACTCACTACCAACCAACTTGGTGTGGCACATAGAGCCACTTTAGGACCCTGGGGGTGACACTACCTGTGCCATTCCTGGCTGGGCTGGGAAAATTTTCTGTTCTCCAGAGACCGACCCCTTGCTTCTAAGTCCAGCATGGGGCTCCTGATGATCTCTTTCTCAATTTTTTTCCTATCCTTCTCAGAAGCTGTTATATCTAAACCTCTCTGCCTCAGTTTCCCTTCCCACCTCACAAGGCTGATAACAAGAGGAAAGAGCATGCATAAGAAAGAAAGTCATGAGCAAGGGTTGGCTGTGAGGGCTGGTCAGGAGGATATTCAGGACAGATCCTCTTTACTCCTTTTAAGCAGATAATTGAGGTGAGGGGAAAGCAGACAGTCCCCAAAACAAAATAATGAGGGCCACTGAATATACTGTTTTTTCTGGGCACAGCTACTTGCTCACTCCCTAACTTCCCTCTCTCAACTGAAGCAATTTGGGGGTAAGGGCAGAGAAGGAAAGATAATCTGGTTTCAGAGAAAAATTTTCCCAGTCCCAGCCTAGCAAAATTTAGAAGATGGAGGAGGGGTGCATGATGGTATTAGGCCCATTTTTTTCCAGGATGACAGGAGTGAAATGACAGGAAGCAGTGAGATCCCAACCCTTCTCAAGTCAGGGGCCCAGCCCAACCCCATGACCCCCGCTCCTGGCTTGGGCAACACTTGAACCAGTGACTCACAAGTAAGAGAAAAAAAATAGCTGACATAAAAGGGGAGGGGGCACCCCACTTCCCCAAAAGGACACAGTTCTAGCTCAGACCCAACTGTAGTATTCAAAGTGTGTGTATATGGGAGGAGCAGGGAAAACGGTGGAGAGAAATAAACACATTTACCAAAGGGTCAGGGAACTGGGGGGTGGGAGTATAGCCATAACCCCCATCCAACCTCCAACTCTCCTTCCAGTCCAAACTGTGATCAAGCCAGAAGTCGGAGAGAATGAAGCCTTCTTGCAACCTCCCACCTCAGCATTCCAGGCCATTCTCAAGTCCCCTTACCCAACCATGACATCTGACGTCTTTTCATTTCAAAGCTCCCAGGAATTAAGAAGGAAAATTCAAAGTCACATAGCATCTCCTGATTCTCCTCCGCCCCCCAGTACAGCCCTATCGAGGCTACTGACTGAGGCCTGAGAGGGGGAAGTGCTCACTTCGGAACCCAGGCAGGCAGCCGGCTGGATCCTGGACCCAGGCCTCCAAGCCTGGTCTCCCAGGCCCAGATTCCACACCCAAGCAGGGGGCCCTCTCCGTGGCCTCCCTTTCCACCCACAGCCATCTCTCCGGCCTGGCTGCCCTCTGCTCAGCGGGGCACTCTTGACCTGGCTCCCCCTTCCACATTCAGAGGCCACTGCGAAAGCCCCCCGCCCCCCATTTGCAGCCCTACATTGCAAATCCAGATTCCTTCACAATTCAGATGGGGGCGGAGGGGTGGAGGATGCATGGGAAGCCGAGGCCCTCCCCAACCAGAGATAGGAAGACAAGGCCTCTGGATCCCGGGATCAGAAAAAGGGGGAACCCTCTTCTCCCTTCCGAGGCCTCTGGTCTTTGTTTTGGCTGGGGGCCCCCACGGAAGCATCATTTGCCCAGGGCCACATCCTCCGAATTGGACCCCCATCCCCACCCCCAGTCGGGACGCTGCTGTGTCAGCTGGACTGTGATAACAAAAGGCACCCCCTCCCGCGTCTCCCTTCCCCATCCAAACGCAGGAGTGGGGGCTGGGGAGTGGGTGTCCCCAGGGGTCCAAGGGGGCCAAGGAATCTCACTTACCGTCGACAGCGGCCACGACCAGAGCTGAGAGCAAGGGCAGCAGCAGCTGCGGCGGGGTCGGCATGGTGCGGGCTGATGCGAGCAGCAGCCCCCTACTCTCTGGTCCTGCGGCTTCTCCCCTTTGCACCCCCCCAATTGGGGGGTACCCCTTTTTCCTCCTTTCCTCCTCTATTCTTATCCTATCCTTCAGCAGCTTGCACCAGGGGCGTGGGTGAAGAGGCAGAGTTCGGAGCCCCTTGTGGAGGGTCTGCTGAAGAGGGTACGCCCCCTGCCCCCAAATCCAAACCCTTCA